ACAACTGTCCTCATTTACCACACTCCCAATTAATCCTCTGTCATCCCATTTTTTCAGCTGCTATTAAAATGTCCCAGTTCCTTTATGCAAAAACATATCCTCATTTTCTCCAACACATAACAGATGCAATAATCCACAAGAGCACCCTTGAGTAGGTACAGAGTGCCTTTCACTTGGAAGCTGAATCCAAACAACCTCTTCTCTCCTTCTCCTGCCCAAAAAACACCTGGAGGATTGTGTTTACGAGTTCTCTCCAGTCAGAAGGAAAGAGATTTGGGTAGATTTGAGTTGTCGTTGTCGTTGTTGCTGCTGCTGCTGTGTGCCTTCAAGTCACTTTTAACTTATGGTGACCCTAAGGCAAAAGGATCACAGGGCTTTGTTATTGTCTTCCCCTGAGACTGAGAGTGTGGCAATTGGAATAAACAGGAAAAGTGGGAGATGGCGAGAGAAACCAGGGCATTTTAAAAGCAGCTGGAAAAGTGGGACTACATCAGTTTCATTGGGATGGTCCCTGTCTATTTGGGACACTGGGAGAGCATGACTGGAGCCCCAGTGTAAAGCAATTTGTGAGAATCTAAGACCAGCATGAACCAAATGGAGTAGGCTTTATTCAATAAAGTAACAAATTAAAAACCCCCACAAAAGTCCTCAACAGGTCCAATATGCAAAGAATCTGGTGGGTTAAGAGATGAAAGCTGCATCTACAGTTTGACACTGCTTTTATTGCCATGGCTCAATGTTATGGACTTCTGAGATTTGTAGTTTCGTGAGCTATTTAGCCTGTCAGAGAGCTCTGGTACCACAACAAACTACAAATCCCAGGATTCCACAGTACGGAGCTTTCTCTTTATAACAGATTTGGACTGGGCAGCTTTTTCTGTACAGGATGTCCTCTGAAAAGCAGCGCCAAACTGCATTAATCCTCCAGTGTGGCAGCTGCCGAAGTTTATCCAAGAGTTTAATGAACACTTATTTTTTGGACTGCAACTCCCCATCAAGTGGGTACCCATGCTGCCTGCGATTTTGGGAGTTCTAGTCCAAAAGAAAGCAGAAACTTTGCCAAGCTGAAAGTCCACTATTATGAGCCCTATGCAGGACCCAGACTCTAATCTTAACCAGGAAGAGAGACGGTCTAAGACAAACCTACCTTAGCCAGGCTCAGTTCTCCAGGGACGAAGCCACCCCACAGAAACACGGACTTTGGAAAACGTCGGCCAAGGGTTTTGTTCCAACACACAGCTAGTGCCCAGTTGTGCCCACCAGTATCCAAGGAAAAGGCTGGATGCCCTGTATTTTTTGCTATGGAGTTCCCCCAGGCCCGGCTAGCTGGCCATCTGCCTTTCTCCCCTTTGAGTTTTTCAGGTCGGCTCATGTGGCAGAGAGAGAAAGAGAGAGTCTTTGGTTGCTGGGGAACGGTCCCCTTTCGGACTCTGTTCAGGATGGCCGACAGAGGCTCTGGAATTGGCTGGTTGCCCTGGCCGGCCTCCAGCTGGCCTTTGGCGTGTGCTGGAGAAACAAAGAGGCGCGGGCATAAGCATGCCACTGGCTGAAGTATGCCACTGGTTTGCAAACATCCAGAAATATATGTATGTGTGTGCATGAGAGAGAGTCTTGCAAATTCATCTCGTACTCTATTGCACTCTGGACAATTTGACTTGCACACTTTAAGCCAGTGTGGCATAGTGGTTTGAGTGTCAGACTAGGAATCCAGGAGATCAGGGTTCGAATCCCTGCTCAGCCATGGAAATCCACTGGGTGAGTCACTCTCTCTTGGCCTCAGAGGGAAGCAATGGCAAACTTCCACTGAAGAAATCCTGAATCGGGTCACCCCTATAAGTCAGAGCTGACATGAAGGTACAAAACATCAAGAAATCATTGGGAGCCAGACTGGTGTCATGGTTTAAGTGTTGGACCAGGACTCATGGAAATGGGGGTCCGAATCCCTTCAAAGCCATGGAAACCCACTGGGTGCCCTGGAGAGATCACACTCTCTCAACATCAGAGGAGTGTATGGCAAATCTCTTCTGAATAAATCGTGCTAAGAAAACCCTAGGACAGGGTTGCCATAAGCTAGAGTTATGTATTGCAGATACATAAAAAATAAAAATAAAATAAAATAACAACATCAATGTTTTAAGGGATCATTTTACAGGAATAATTAGTTACATTTCAATTTGCCTTTCCCCCAATGAGCTCAAGATAATGTGTATGGCTCTCCTTTTCCCTCCTTCATCCTCCCAACAGTCCTGTGAAGTAGGCCAGTTTGAGAAAGGGGGAGACTGGCTCAAAATCACCCAGGCAGTTTCGCAGTGGGGATTTGAACCTGAATCTCCCAAAATCCCAGTCCGACCCTTAACCACTACTCCACACTGGTTCTAGATATGCCTAGGATTAAGTTACTGTAATGATGTGCCATAAAAACAGCAACAACAATTACCCCATAAAATTTCCCTGTAAATTAAGCCTAAGGATATATATATATATATAAAAAACAAACGTGGCCAGCAATTGCCTCTGTAAAATGAAATTGCTTCTTTGCCACATTGTAAAGCTGCAGGAAAATGTTGTGCCCATTGTATTGTTCCTTCAGAGGAACAGCAAGGCCTAACAATGGCCAGCCAGTACCTCATGTAAACCAAGAGTGAATTCATACAGTCCTGTATCATTTGGAACTTGCAATGACTTTTTTAAAAGCAAAGATGCTGAAATCTTTTGCTGCCCTTCCTTCTGCTAGTGCTTTCTCTTTAAACTGGATTTGGACTGGGCAGCTTTTTTTGTAGAGGACTTTCTCTGTAAAATAGACACATGCTATAAGGGATAGTTGTTAGACTGGGCTCCCTGGAACCAGAAAAGTCTGAAATCTACTGGATCACACACTGAATCATAGAGTTGGGAAAAAAATAATTCTTGGGGTTGCAACTACAAAGTGAATTCACATTTTTCTTGGTCATGTTGAAATTCAATGGGATTCCCTGATGTATCTTAATGCTGCTATGCATATGGTCCTCAGTTAACAGGATTATTCCTGGATAATCTGTTCAAATTTCTATCTGCAGAAACTCTGCCAAGAAAACCTTGTGACAGGGTCGCCATAAGTCAGAATTGACTTGAAGACATGCAACGACAACAAATATTAAACAGGCAACCACTTCTCTATTTTCAAAAAAATTCCTCTGTATTCACGAGGGCTAGAACCTTGCTGCATCTTTTGTTAAATGAAGATCCAGTCTGGCGCTCTGAGCCAACAAAATACACAAGTAATTCTGATGGAACATGTACGCATACACTTTGTAGTTTAACCATAAAACCCTATTGCTATGAATAATTGTAACTCCATCCAACACATTCCCAGGCCAACATCTGTTGAACATTGTGAGCTGCTCGCTCTTGACAAAGAACATCATACTACCCATGATTTCTGTGGTTTCACCTGAGGACCACACCTTCCAAGGCATCCAAGCTTCAATGTGCAACCCAGGTCCGAAATGGCACCATACCATTTATGTTATGTGGCCCAACCTAAACTGCTTGTGGATACTCAACCACAAGGTTCCCACCAGTGCATGCTGGTATCTTCCATGTCAGTGGGGCAATGAATCCATTCCAGGCTTGAATTTAAACCCTACAGGACCTATCCAAGGTGCTGAAGCCAATCTTCAAAACAGGCTGAACACTTTGGGCCCTTCCTTTAAAGTTTGGACTAAAACCTAGAGTGGATTCAATACCCCAACGACATGGAAGCCATCAGCTGCTGGTGACTCCTACAGATGTTTTCCACATCTCCATCAGAGTGAACAGAAGGAGAAGGAGGGAATCAGTTGGTGGTTTCTACAGTAGAACCAGAACTGGTGACTTTGGGGGATTGCACCTCTCAGAAACCACCACCTGCTTGGTTGAGGGATGCTGGGAATTACAGCTGGAAAAACTTTTCTGAGCTGCAAACAAAACAGCCACAAGACCCACATGCTCTGAACACTCCAGAGAACCCTGAGCACTGCATTTTGGCTAAAACACATACAGACAGCAACTTGTTACATAATCTCCATAACCCCAAGTTTTGCATTTCCATGGCTTTTCATACAGTCTGATTGTAAAAGTCTTTCCTGGGCACCATGCGTCCGAGGAAGTAGGCCAGGCCTACAAAAGCTTATGCTGCAACTTCTTTGGCATAGTTAGTCTCAAAGGTGCTACAAGATCCTTTGGCACACTGTTGCACCATGCCTTGTATGACACAACCTGCCGTTACAACCTTTCTGGGCTAAAACCACAAACTGTCCGGCTCTCACGTTAGTCAAAAGAAAAGGTCATAAATCACTTCTCCCCATTCTCCTCCTGCAGTTTGTAGGACAGCTCTGGCACAAAGGCAGAGACGGGATTTCTTTAGGTACCTGTTTCATCCCTGGGAGTCATGTCTTCCATGCTCGCTCTAGGAGGCGGCTGCTTCTGGGGTGGAACACGCTCCGACTGATTGACAGCGGGAAGACAGGTTTTGCAGAATTGGCCAGGCAGGATATAACTAAGCGGGATGGAATTTGGCACGAGAAGCCAAGCCGACACCTCAGAGCCCAATGCTGGTGCGTCATTAGCCAAGTAATTCCAGCAATATGTTTTTTTTAATGCTACTTGTGATCCCGGAGTCATGTCACCAAGGTGTGTGAGTGTGCCTTTGTGCGGTGAGGTGTATGCATGGCACAAAAAAATATCTTCGCTGCTCTTTTCACCACACTGGGGTGGGGAAGGCAGAGTGACAATCCAAGTCTGCTCTGGAAGGAAAATCCAGAATATGGAATAGTCTCCCAATAGAGAAAACCGAGGGTGGACTATCTACCCATAGAATGAGATGTTCTAACAGACCTGGCCTGAAGCAAGGAATGGGTTTGTCACAAACCTTGCAGCACCCAGCCAGAAAACAGGTAAGTTGAGCATGCAAGGAGAGGACAGGACACTTAGATATACCTGGCAGAGTAGCCATGTGATGGAGGGCATATTGCAGTGGACGGCATATTTTGCCCCCTCCTTGGTTAGTTTGGAGGAAGGAGGGTTTGGAGTAGTGGCAGAAAATTGAACCAAAATGTTTTTGTGACAGCTTGGGCATTTGGGGTCCTCTTTTCCCCCCCAACTTTTAGACCCCCCCAAAAAGAAAAGAAAGCCTTGTATGCAAGCAGACTAAGGAAGGGCTTTAGCTCAGTGGCATGATTAGCACATAGAAGATCCCAGGGTCAACCCCTGCCATCTTCAGAAAAATGTCTGTCCGAAACTTGAAAGAGCTGCTGCCAGTCAGTGTCAGCAGTACAGAACTAGAAGAATCCCTGGGATGAAATTCCTGAAAGCTTTGGAAAGGGCTGAGCACATACTTAGCTTACAGAGGGTCCCGGGTTCGACCCACTCCCATCCCTGCAGGGCGCTTACCGTCTGTGACTGCCACCTCGAGGAGAGAGCTTCGTTCCCTGGGGTGTTAAAAGCAACTTGGCATCATACCATTCTGGCTGTGCCTGGGGCTGTGGGAGAAAAGACAGAGGCAAGCTGAGACAAATACACAGAGGCAGGCAGTATTAGGATGCAGGCAGAGGTTGTGACAAAATGGAGAGCATGGCCAGGAGAGAAAGGCTGGGACGTTGATCCATGCCACTTCCTACTCTTGCTGTGGCATCTTTCTCTTCCTCCCTTCCTCTCCGTCTTTCGGTTTCACAAGGATCATGACTGATGCACTTTCAGAGCATCTCACCTCCCAGCTTCAAAGGACTCCTGCAGATGTGGTTTGTAATTGCCATCCAGGTTAAGCAACAAATGTTCCCATTGCACAGGTAGAAACATTGAGGCACGCCAGAAGGGAGAGGCTTGTCCACAAGCCTGCAACCGGTTTGTGAAGGATGGAGGAAAGGAGGAAAAGACTATGTGGAGCAGAAGGACAAGAACTGAGGACACAACCATAACTTCAGTGGATTCCAACTGTGCAGAGGAAAAAAGACTACAAGGGAACTAGGGGTATATTTACATTGTAGAAATAAGGTGATGTGACACCACTTAAGGGCTGCATCTGCACTGCAGGAATAATCCAGTTTGACATCACTTTAACTGCCATGACTCAATGCTATGGAATTCTGGGAATTCTAGTGTGTTGTGTGGCACCAGAGCTCTCTGACAAAGAAGGGTAACTGTCTCACAAAATTATATTTTTAAGAATCCCGTAGCACTGAGCCATGGCAGTTAAAGTGCTGTATCTCCATCCTATAGGATTTTAGGATTTAGTTTTACAAGGCCTTTACTTTAGCCTTCTCTGCCCAAGAGTGCTGGTGCCTCACAACATTACAAATCCCAGGAGTCTGTAGGATGGAGACATGACAGTTAAAAATGGTGTCGTATTGCATTATTTCTATGGTGTTGATGCACCCTAGGTAACAAGTGCAGTTTGCTGGTCTGCCTGGATTGGATTATTAACAGCAGAGTTTGGAAAAAATTTGGACTGGAGAAGTCTGGGAGTTATAGTCCTCAAAAGTTAATTTTCTCAAGCTCTGTTGCCAGTAGTTTTTCTTTCCTAGGTCCTAGCATCCTTCTATTGCATCATGGCCAGTCCTTTTCAGTCTTTCTCCCTTTGCATCCGCAAATAAATTTGCTTCACCTTTGCAAGTGCATGCAGGCTTTTACGGATTCTCTACCTGGGCCACACCTTTACATGCAGGGAGAGGGAAAAGGAAGTTAAAGGACTTGCTTTTCAATACTCTCCTCCCCACAATCCACGCT